AACTTAATATCTAGTTTTAACTTAGCTAACTTATTTTTTTTATAAGCCTAGCTAACGTCGATTTATTTTTATTTTTAAATAAGCAGCCTCGCTTTTTATTATTTATACTTTAGTTATTATAAATAGTACGGGCTTAACTAGCTAACTAGCTTTTTTTAAATAAAGCTAGTTATAATAAAATAAGTTATATTATATTTTTTAGCTTATTATAAAAGGATATAATAATTTTAAAATTAAGGATTTAGTAATATAAATCTAAAAAAAACGTTTTTTAAAAATATTACTAAGGGTATACTTTTTATTTATTAAAAGTAGCCGAATTTAATATTTTAGAATAGATTTTATAGTAATATAGGATATTTAACTTAATTAAAATAGTATAGTTTAGACTATAAAATCCGAGGGGGTTTAAAAATAGCCTCTTATTAAATAGTATTACTTTTTTTATAAGCCGGGCTTACGTCCTAATTAAAGTAAAATATTTTAAGGAAAGTATTATTCGAAGTTTACTTAGGTACTTAAAGTAAGTACTTATATATTCTTAGTTTATAAGTACTTTATCCTTTATATAAGCTTAATAAAAATATAGCTCTTAATTACTAATTATATCCTATATAATATTAATAAGCCGATATAAATAACTAAGACTATTTAAAAATATATTTTAATATTATTATTATTTAACTTAGTACTAAAGGTAATGCGAGTACTAAAGTTCTAGTATTTTTAAATAAAATAACGGGCTTATTATACTCTTAAAAATAGGTATATTACGTAAAAGTACTAGAGGATTAGGTATTAATTATTAAACTTTTTATAAAGCTTAATCTAGGCTTTTTTAAAAGTATGCTTAGTCTTAGCAAAAATAATAAGCTTTTATATTATAAAGACCTTATAATATATATAAAAAGGGGGCTTATAAATAAGTATATTAATATAGGCCTTATTTTTATTACTTAGCGTAGTTATTACTTATATTAATAACTAATATCCCTTATTATTAAACTTATTACTATTACTACTATAATTACGGTCCTTAACTTATTTCTACTTAACCCTAAGTATAATATTAAAGTTAATATAGTAAATATAAAGTTATTACTAAACGTCTAGGAACTACTTATTTAGTATAGCTTTTATTTACTTATCGTAGTTTATAATAATAATAATAAAGTAATAGACTAAGTATTAGTTTATAAGTTAGCGAATACTTATTAAAAAAAACTAAAAACTTTTTAATCTTTTATTATTAATAAGGCTAAACGCGGCGTTATAAATAGATCTAAAATAAGTTTATTTAGTAACTTAAAAAAGAGGGAGCTTAAAGCGATTAGTATTATAAGTATTATTAAAACTAATTACCTTAGGGAATCGTTTTTATATTTAAAAATAGTAAAAAAAGGTCTAAATAAGGCTAATAAAGTAGTTTAGCTCGTTATTTACCTATTTAATAATATATAGGATCCCTTACTTATTAAATAGCTTAATTAACGCTACTATTAATAAATATTTATTTAATTTCTCTTAGCTAATACGGGCTTTAGTATTATAAATATCTTACTAAGTAAATAAGGACTCTAAGAACTACTTTTAAATAATAGTACGTATATTACGAACCCGAATTTTAACTCGTTAGCTTATAGTTTTAATAATATTTTTAACTACTTTAATAAGTTTATAATATAAAGGGTATATAAAAGCTTTAAAATTAGGGCTATAATTATACTATTTATACTAGGGGTTTAAATAATAATATAATAACTACTTATTCTCTTTTTAAGCCTTAGTAATAACTTATTATTTATAACTATATTTATAAAACTTATATTATTAAATACTAGCGCTTTTTATAAACCTAAGCTTACTAAACCGATTATATTAAAAAGTATATTAAATAATTTAGCCTCGAGTTTTATACCTATTCCGCTTTATAATACTAAATTTATTAGTTTTTATAAAGTTATTAATTTAGTTAAAAAGAGTATTATAAGTTTATTTTAAATTACTAAGAATTAGTAAGTTTAAGATTTTGGTTATAAAAAGAGAAGAGGATCGGTTATTTAGAGTATAATAAGAGGTTATAATTTAAAAAAACGCTTCGTTTTAAATAGAGGATAGCTATAAAAGTAAATAAGGTAATAAGTTAACTTAGGGACCTTATATTTATTATTATTAACGGATATATTCTTATTATTAAAATAGTACTATTATTAATTATTAATTAATTTTGATAACCTATTTAATAAGCTAAAGAGTATTACTAAACTATTTTATTATAAAATAAAAAGGTTACTAGGACTATTTATTAAGGGGAGAGGGGTTATATTTTAAAAAAAGTTATAAAAAAGTAATTCGCTAGGTTTTTATTATTCTTTTAAAAAAATAATAAGTAAAGTATAATATAAGTTTTATATTAAAATAATCGTTTATAAAAGGTTGCGTATTTTATAATATATTAACTAAGAGCTTAGTAATAAGGTCGTATTACTTTTTAAAATTACTAACTTTATAAAATTAATTAACGCTAGGGCGGCTATTTTTTAAAAAAAGAAATAATAATAATTAGTTAAATAATAATAAGAGGCTATAATTAATTAATAATCGTTCTCATAAAGGGGAAAGTTTCTTAGTAGGGGTATTATTTTAAAATTAGCCTTAGGGAACGTTTCTAACTCTAATTATAGAAGCTATTATAAGTAAATACTATAAATTAAATTTCGAGGCTTAATAATATAACCTAAGCATAAAAAGAGTAAAAGAATAAAAGCTTAGGATATTTTATAAGTATTTAGTAAAATTTAACTATACTAATAATATTTTTTTAAACTAATTAAAAAGTAAAACGGCGACGCTTATATAAGAGCGACGCCCGTATATTAATTTACGACGCCCGTATATTAATTCCCTTATTATAAAGACCTTTTTTAGCTTTATTATAAAGCCCGCTTTTTAAAACTCCTTATCTTTTTTTTTTATAAAATTAATATTAAATAAGCCTAATATATTATTAATCTATATTCTAACGATTCTAAATTATTTACTTTCTTATTTAAAAACTAATAAGTACGGGTCGTATATAAATATAACTATTAATAATTAATTAATATAAAAATCGTATTATATAGCTTACTAATAAGTACCTAATTTTACGAGCCTATATAATAATTTAAATATTTTAATAATCGTACTTTCTAAGTACTTACTAACTATTTTTTTTAGTAAGTAAGCTAGGATTTTTTTATAAGCCCTATAGCTAATTAAGTATAAGCCTAAATAATATTACAGCTCTAAATTTCGTATCCCTTTTTCTATAACAATATTATTAATACTATTATTAATTATTAACTATAGCGCTATACTATAAGTAATTAAGTAAATAGCGTTACTTTTTTAATATCGCCGTACCCTTAAATTATATACCTAAATTTCTTATATAGTTAGGGTGTTTTTTTTCTTTTAATTTTACGTACTATTCGTAATTTAAATATATAAAGACTTTTATATTTCTCGGGGTTATAAAAGATAAATTAATAAACCCCTCGATTATATAGAATATTTATTTTAATAAAATCTAATCCCTTATGTAGCTTTTTAATAATTATAATAATACCTTCTTTACGTAATTTAATTATTAGCTCGAAATCGGTTTTCTTTTTTACTATATAAAAAGTATTAATTACTTTATTATTAATAATAAATTACTATATTAAGGCTTACTATTATAATCTTCTACGACGTCTTATTAATAATATTAGTACCCTTTTAATAATTTCCTCTTCCTCGTTATTTATTAATATTACTATAACGATTTTATTAAAGATAATTTCCTATATTTCTATTACTAATTATATAGTTTCCTCTAGCTCTTTTTTTTTTTATAAACTAAAAATTACCTTAATAAGATTTATATAATATAGTCTAATTATAATAATTAATATTTCGAATAATTAGTTACGATTTTTTATAATTACGTAAAAGCGCTCGTTAATAAAAATTAATTTATATAACTTAGCTTATTACTAAGTAATTTCGTACTAAATTTATATATTTAAATTTAGAAATATATCTAAATTAGCCCCTATATTAAGCTTATTATATATAATAATTACCTTATTAACTTACCTTCTTATACTTACCTTACGTAGCGCTTATATTACTTTTTTAAATACTTAAGCTTATTAATTTATGTTTAGTAACGGTAATAAAGCTAAAATCATCCTTAAGTATACTTTAAATATTAATAGTATTAATATAAGACCGTTAAGTCCTATAGTATTATTATAGTATTTAAATACTATTTAGAAATATTTATCGTTAGTATAATCGGGATTTTCCTTTTTAATAATCCTAAACGCCCTTTTTAACTATTAATATACTTTTTTTATTTTTTTAATATTATAATACGCTTCTATAAATACGATTTTTAATTATATACTATAAGCTATTATATTTTCCTTAAATTCTATTAATTTAAAACTCGTATTAGTATTAGTTTTAATACTATTTAATAATCCTTAATATATATCGATCTAGCTTTTTTATAGGGCTATTTATACTATTTTTATTTATAAATCCTAGAGGAATTACCCTATTTAAAATAATATAGCCTCGTCGATTATATATAAGACCGGTTAACTATTTAAATAAAAAATATTAATAACGATTTCTTAATTAAAATTAAACTTATTATATAATTTAAATTTAAATTTATATAAGCTCTGCGTATTTATTTAGTATTAGTAATATATTTTTATTAACTACTCTAATACCCCTATTTTAATATCCTTATTACCTAATTATTTTAAAACGTTATATAACCTCGTAACTAATAAGTACCTAAATTTTTAATATAATTATTTAAACTTATTTTCCATTAGGTAATTAACTAACTTTGTATTATTAATAAGCTTTATAAATACGTATCCCTATTATTGTTTAACTATTTTAAAGTACTTATTACTAGAGATTCTATTCCTTATATTATTAAATATAATACTTAGTTAATTTATATTTTTTAAATATAAGAGAAATAGGGTATTAACGAATAGAATATAAAAAATTATCGTTCTAAAATACGTCTTTATTTTTATTATACTTAAAGTAACGATTTCTTTACCTAAACTAAAGCTAATTCTTATAATACTTATTATTAATATATTAAATATTATTAATACAATTTTCTATAATACTTAGAATTACCCCTTTCTTTTTATTAACTATTATAATACTTTAGTATTTAGAATAATCTTATAAAAATTATTTAAGCCGTACTTTTTACTTATATAAAATACTTATACGGGCTTAGTATTTAAATAATCTAAATAATATAAAAAGGACCCCTTTAGCTACTCTTAAAATTACTTAGTATTATTTTTCTTTTTTAATATTAATAAAAATAATATTTTCTCTTTAAGTATTAAAAAAATAAAATTCTATACTATTAAATTCGTTTTTTTATTTACCTCTATATTTATTATTTAAAAAACCTTCCCTTATTATTTATAAATAAAAGCTTACTTATTAAGAGCTTTTATTATTTTTTATTTATTTAGTCTTATATATCCTCTAGAAGTTAATAATATAAAAAATAAGTAGTTAATATTATTAATTTTATTATAATTTAATTTATTAATATAAGGGGCGAGATCTTCTTTATTTTTTAAATTTCTTAAGAAAAGTAAATACTCTAGGTTACTATTTTAATTACTATTATTAAGTTCTATACCCCTAAATCTATTTTTATATATAATAAAAAATTAGCTAAATTAATAAGGGCTAGTTTTATTATTTATTACCCTTAATTTTTTATACTATTTATATAATTTAGTACGCTCTTTTTTAGAGTAATTACTTAACTAATATTTATCTTTTTTATAAATAAAGTATTATTTTTTTTATTACCTTACTTATAAGTTAAATCTTTACTTATTTAATAAATCTAGGCCTTTTTATTAACGATTATTATACCTAATCTCTTTTTTTTTTTATTATATATTTAGTTAATTTAATATTATTAATAAGGGCCGTTATACTTTTAGAAATAGGTTTAGTATAGTATTTTTATTTTAATATTAAAACTAAATTTTAGCCTCGAGTAAAGTATCTTATAGTTTCTAAATACTTAGTATAAAGTTATTTTTATTTTTAATATATACTAAACTATAATATAAAAATATCTAACTTTTTACTTGTTAATCCCCTTATTTAGTTAGGTTTTTATTAGCTTATTAATTTAATTAATAAGTTCTTTTAAAATTTTTATTTATAATTTTCTTTTTATTATTCTAACTATAAATATAAAAGAAATTATTTATAGTTTAGATAGAAGCTTTAGATTCTTATTATAAGTCTTAAAGCGGCTTTAAATTATATTAATAATATTAAAAAAGTCGTTCTAATTAGAATTACGTACTACTTCGTAATAATAATTAGAGGATTTACTTATAAATATAATATTAATTACTAAATAATATTAATATTCCCTAATCCTAACTTTTTTATAATAATTATAAAATATTATTAAGGTTTTTTATAAGACCTCGTACTTCCCCCTAGAGTATAATTTTTTTTTAAAAAGATCTTTTTAAAATCTATAAATTACTTCGTATTTATTACTATATTTTTAATATTTATATATAATTCTTATATTATTACGTACTATTAGTAACTTCGGGTCGTTTACTTTTTTTTTATTAGCTAATTAGTACCGAATTTCGTATTAATAATAGTAACGAGCTATAAATTAAAATAAATAGAATTATTAATTATTATACGTCTAGTATTATATTTTACTTTTATATATCCTTTTATAAAAATAAATTACTATTAGTAATTATAAAAAGGAAAACTAGGTCGTTTACTCTTTTTCTAAATTCGTTAAAATAATTATATACTTTATTAATCTATACCTAGTTCTATAGTACGAATTCCTCTTTTATAATCGTTATTACTAAAATTTCGTATAGTTTTTATAATTATAATTACATTAATAATACCCCTTATTTATAAAAAAATTTATTAACTACTTTTATAATTCCTAAACTTATACTTATAAACTATTTATTTAGCTAGTAACTAAAGTTATTTATGATTTTATAAAATAGGGGTTACCCCTATAACCCCTTTTTTTTATAAACCTTAGTTAAATAGATTAATACTACGTTAATTTACTTATTATTAAGCTAATTTACAATTTTATATATTTACGTCCCTTAATAGTCTAGGTTAATATTTACTTATTTATAAGGGATTAGGATTCTATTTAAGATTAGGTTTTTTCTTCTTTTTTCTTACCCTAACTTACTAAGGGTCGTACTCTAGTTTATATTTATATTAATAATTATTAATATATTTAATTTTAATAAGAATATATTTAATTTATATATTAGTTATAATAAATCTATATTTTTACTACTTAACGAATTTATTAAAATTTAAATAATTCCTACTTCTTTTTACTATCTCGCTATTATTCTCGTTTTTATTATTTTTAGTAATTATTATTACTTTTTTAAATTACTAACTATCGTACTTATTAAGATCCTCTTTTTTATTTAATATAAAAAAATAAGCTTTAATAACTCTTTTTTTAATAATAGTAATAAACGTTTATATTATTATAAAAAAACGTAATAATTAGTCTTAGGATTTTTATTAATTATTAATTTTTATTATTCTTTATATTTCTAACCTCTTAAGCCTTATACTCTTTATAATTTTTAAATTATTTATTTTTTTAATTTACCTCTTTTAGGGTAATATTCTAAAAAAATAGTTAGAAATAAATACTAAGTAGTTTATAAAGGAGCTAAATAAGCTATTAAGAGTTAAATAGGCTATTAAGTACGGTTAATAAAGTTAAGCTCTTTTTTTTATAAAATCGAGGATTTAAAAAACTTATTAAAAATACTTATTACTTCGTTACTTATACTAAGTAAGGTTAATTATTTTAAAAGTCTTTTTTTTTATAGCTTTTTAGTATTTTATTTTATATTTTTTAAGTAGTTTTTTTCGTAACTTAATTATTATTAAATAATTATTACTTATTAATAATCCCTTTTATTATTTAATTAATTTTTTAAAATTAATAATTTTATACTAAGAGCTTAGTATAAAAAAAGAGCTTTTTAATAACCCTTTAAAAAATTCTTTTTTTTTTTTTAAAACTATATTTTTTTAACCTTTTTTTAAGTTAATTATAACTTTAATAAGAGGTTATAAAACTATTTTAAAATAGTTACTTTTTTTTTAAGTTAATTTTTAAGATTTATAATATTTTTAATTTAATATTATTAAAACTTTTAAATCTCTTTTTTTTTTATTAAACCGTTTTTTATATTATATTCCTAAATAATATTTAAGAAGTAGTTAAGGGGGCTACGAAGAGATCGTTTAAATCGTAAATTTTAAAGTTATATTTATAAAATCTTCGAAATATTAAGCTTTTTTATATATTATAAATCTCTTAGCTTAATAACTCCTATATAAGTTCTTATTATATTTATTAAAAATATTTACGTTTAGAAATCCTTTTTTTTAATTACGTAATATTTTTTTATATTATATTATTAAGCTTATTTATTATATTAACTAATTAAGTAAGTAGTTACTACGTAAGTATTTTTTTTTACTAATTTAGCTAGTTAATTTCTAATTACGGGCCGGCTATAAAATAGTTATTTAGTAAAAAAGCTATTTAAAATAATAGTAAAAAACTAGTTATTTAAGTAGTTCTATTAATTAACGTAATTTAATATAATAAACGTCGACTTTTTATAAATAGTAAAAGGCTATAATTACTTAATTCCGTATAATATTTAAAAATCGCCTCCTTTTTTATTTATTTTTATAAAATTAATTAATACGAATTTCCTATTTTATATAATATTAAAAAGTTATTTTTTTTATATAATAAGATATTTTACTAATTTATAATAATAAAATTTAATTACTAATTAATATTAATATTTTTATTATAAAGTAGTTAGTTCGAATTTTAAGTTAATAAAGAGATTAATTAAACTATATAAATTTCTATATAAGTATAAAAAGGAGGTTCTAACTATAGGTTAGGCTAGCTATAATAATTATAAATAGGGCCCCTAATTAGCCCCTGCGTAGTTGGCCGTATGCCGCGGTCGAATTGGACTTCTAATCCAACACTCCGCAATTCATCTGCCGTCTCTGCAGCACCGAGTCAAGAGCTTACTACGTAGCTGCACGTTGTGCCGGTGCGAATCTGGGGTAGACCGTAGAATGCCCCGAGATTCCGGGACTTACAGCGCCTTGCCCGCCGCTGGTTCGTCTGGTCTTATGCTTTCATGTCCATGGCGAACGCTACAGTATGCAACAGGCCTGCCGTTCGTCTGAACATTCTTCCTCATTCCTGGCTCACTCGGGCATATTGCAGCGGACTGCCCCCGGCAATGTCTCCTTTTGTCCTGCGGACCAATTTCACCGTCAGCCCTTCATCTCCTCAACTGTTCATCCCCTCACCTTGACAATAAAGATGACCGAGGGGACAATCCGCCGACAGCCCGTCAGAGGAGCACTTCCTGCGTTCTCCAAACAACGGCAGGGTGTTAGCACCAAAGTAAAGTACCTTAAGCTAAAGTCCCCTCGGTTGAATTGTCTGCCTTTAGATTCAGCAAGCTTCCTTGAGCTTTGGAGTGGTTATGAACTTCCCCGCAATCATCACTCTCCGTGCCATCATTGTTGCGAGCGCGAGCAGCTAGGAGTCGCAAATGCCACTGTAACCTCGAATGCTTATTTCCCAGATCCGCCGTCCAATCGAGCAAAGATCAGAGACAACGTTCTTATGTAAATCCTACGGCACACAGCTACAGCGGGTTCCTGCCAAGTCGTCCCCAATTCCCATCAATCATGCCTTTTCCCTGCTCTTCCTCCACCCGTCCGGAGCGGGACTTGGGCAAACCCTGGTTTCTCGAGCCCTGTCCCTCACCCTTTCCGCTTCACCCTTCGTGATCTATCTCGCGCAGCCACGGCGAGGAAGCCCTGGTCGCCGGCCCATGAAACAATCATTCCGCCAATCAACAAGCTGTTGCAATTTATCACGAGCCCTTGCGAGAGGTAACCTCTCCGGCGGACGCCCGCTCTTGGAAGTTGGAATCCCGCGAAAGAGACCAAGGGGCCTTCAGCA